TTAGAGAATTGAAGATATCATCATGAAATGAACAAATCTGAGAGAGGTCTACCCAAGGTACATATACACCAAGTATCAAAGCATTCAGGCTTGTAGTTTTCAAGAAGAAGTCGAAAAAGTAAAACATTGACACGGACGATGGACGACGGACGACGACGACGGACAATCACTCATATGATAAGCTCCGCTCGACAAAGTCGACAGCGGAGCTAAAAATAGCTAATTATCATGTAAATTAGGTAATTAATATGCACGGATTTTTACCAAAAATTAATCAAATCTGCGCATATGTTCAGAGCATCTATGTACCAAGTTTCATCAAAATCCAATGAGTGGTTCTTTAGATATCAGTGGAACAGTCATAGAACAGCTAAAAATTAGCTAATTATCATGCAAATTAGGTAATTAACGAGCATGGATTTTTACCAAAACCTAATCAAATCTGCGCATTGGCCCAGAGCATCTATGCACCAAGTTTCATCAAAAACCGATGTATGGTTCTTGAGATAGCAGTGGAACAGTCGGACACACATACACACACACATACACACACACTAACTGCAAAGACTCCCATTTTGTGCTTCGCACATGGGAGTCAAAAAGAACGTAGTTGTTCAAATTTGGGTAAAAACTGAACTGAGGTGTGTACCATTAGAAACTCTGAGGGGTAGGGAGACGGCATAATCAAAAAAACAAAAACATAGCAACAAATTTCAGGGATTAATAACCGTAAACAAAATTCTGCATATCTTAATCTTAGGTAACAAATTTTTTACAGAGTGGAAAAACAAATTACAGTAAATTTATTGTGAAAAAAAAATCAGCACAAAACTACAGTTCACCCCCTCAAGTTTTTAATGGTCAACCCCCAACAAGCATTAAATACCTCTTCTTCTTTCACATCTGATCCTTCTTTTTGTTGCTTTAACTTCTGGTCTTTCTTTTTGACATTAGCCTCCCACTGATTCATGCTGCTGAGAAACTCATTCAACTCGGCAGCATTTTGTCTAACCTGGTTCTGAATCTCAAGGGCTTTCTCCATCATAAGATCTATATAAACAAATTTAAATTGATACAAGAATTGAGACCTGGCATTATGTATTATTCAGAAATTCAAACTGGTCATTGAGTACCAGCTGATCATTCCAGAAACAGTGCTATCATAGTGAACTGATATTAATATTCTTGATATAGATTGATAGCTAAGATGACTACAGCAGTTAAATCATCAAAGCTCCCAACTCCCAAACTAAGATCAGGACATACGTCCATGGTCTAGCTAAATACCTACAACTGTTAAATAATAAACAAGATATTAAATTATTGTCTCATTGAGACTTAGTTGTCACAAACTCTAAATAGAAGTAGGTGTAGGAGTGACAGTATTGAAGATGAAGTTCATTTCAATACAGACTGTAGCTATTACACTGATAAAAGGGATAAAGTTCATTATTAATACTAACCATCCTAAACTAATTAGACATGTGACATGGTATCAGAAATTGTGTTTTGAAAAACACAAACTGCATTAATTTTTACTGCCTGATTTTATGTTAGTTTAACGTTCTGTTTTTTACTTACCTTTCCTTTTATTATTACTTTCAGCCAAAAATAAGGCAGAGCTCCAGAAGGAGTACCTACACTTTATGCAAATTTTTTTAAAATTATGCTAATTTATTCATGACGTAGCAGTTTCTGTGCTCATGAATATTCATTAATTTGTGGCTCAATACATTTTAAAAGGGGCGATATATTATTTTTGGGGGAAGAGTTAGAAAGGGGGATTAGCAATCCTTAGGGGGTCAATACAAAAGAAGGGACCCATTTGGAGAGCAGCCATGCTCCTCGTGTCTGTTGTTGCACGTGACCTACAGCTGTCAACAGTGTTCGTTCTTCGACTGTGTTCGTTCTTCGACGACTTCGACTGACTTCCATGTGGGGTAGTATTCTTGTGTTCTGTTTTCCTGACTTGAGTTTTTGAAACCGCTGTTTATGTTTTTAACGTCTTTCATGTCTTTCGTAGGAGTGTCCAATCCGTGATTCGAACTTGCGATCTTTGAGTTCCCAGCGCACTGTCTTGTCCACTGTACCACGAGTGTCTTCACACAGGAGTTTGGATTTAAGTCCTACTCATAGGAGCACTGTCTTCACTAGCATTCAAAAATCTAACTAAACATACTGGATTCGAACCAGCGATCGCTCACATTGCTGACATAGTACAAATCAACTGAGCTATGTGGGTAGTCATGCAAATTAAATAATTTGTTGTCATATTTAGCTTTATTGCCAAATGGTGTTTGCGAGAAAA